CTTCTGTTGGAAGTGTGGAATTTGATACTTTCTTTGAATTTAATCACCGTGTTCTTGTTAGCCTTACCTTAAATTAGTAGCACAATATTACTTTAATAATTTTATCTTTATAGATACAAATGCTTATTTTCATTTTTAAAAGCTTAATATATATCTAATACAGGAAAATACAGATACCTTGAGTCATCAACTTAAAATGTACATTTATTTTTCATTGTTGAAGCTTTTGAAAGGAGCCCTGGTGGCACACTGGTTAAAGCACATGGCTGCTAACCAAAAGGTCAGCACTTCAAACCCACCAGCTTCTCCGTGAGAGAAAGATGTGGCAGTCTCCTTCCATAAAGGTTTATAGCTTTCGAAACCACATGGGGTAATTCTGCTCTGTCCTGTATGGTCGTTATGAGTTGGAATCGACTCTGTGGCAGTGGGTTTTGGTGGGAGATTTTGACCAGTTTTAACATTTACTGGGGAAAGAAACAACTTTTAATTGCAAAGTAAATTTGAGAGCTTAATTTTATACTATTTCCCAAATACTAACATTGGAAAATAATGATATTAAATGATAACGTTTAAGCATGATTATGAAAAGAACACTGGGATTGGGAAAATTATGAATTATGAAATCTTACTCCATTTGGAAAACATTTCTCCTTCCCCTTTTCCTATTAAAAAAAATAAAAATAAAAAATAAACCCATTGTTGTGAAGTTGATTCCGATTCATAACAACCCTATAGGACAGAGTAGAACTGCCCCATAGAGTTTCCAAGGAGCGGCTGGTGGATTGAAACTTCCAACCTTTTGCTTAGCAGCCAAACTCTTAACCACTGCGCCACCAGGACTCCCCTTTTTCTGTAGCGACTACATACACAAGGAAGAAAAAACAAAAAGTCAGATTTTAATTTTGCTTAACTTGCATTTTTATTCTCTCCTCTAGGCTACAGAAATTAATAGGCTAGAAAAATACTTTTTGAATATTTAACAATTGATCCTTGTAATCATCTACAGTATTTTTGTTGTAACATATGTACATATATATATTTTTTTACACCAATTAGCATAATTTGTATTTTTATTAGTGATTTAAAGTAGTCATGATTAAAATTTTTCTTTGCCTTAGACTTAGATGGGTTGTAAGATTTGGCTGGATTTGTACTGACCCAAGGTGCATGCTAAAATCAGGAATCTTGAATTAATTTTTGACATCAGAATAATCTTTTTCCCTTGTCTGTTTTACATAATTTAAGAGCTGAATATGCTCAAAGTGACCTTTGTTCGGTGGAATTTGGCTGACAGCTTAGAAAATAATACACCCACTCCTAACTTATCGACATGGTTATGTTCCAAAGACCAGGTCGTTTGTGAAAATTGGCATTATGCAAAAATAGAGGATGACCACATCAGATAACAAAATGGAAGATGACTACATCATTACATAAGTGCCAAATTATATGGTTATATAACTGCCAAACTGAGAATTATGGCCCAGCCAAGTTGATGCATAATCTTAGCCATCAAAGCCAGCGTTACTCTCACCTTGCACCTCAACGTTCGCTCCTGCCAAAACGTACATTGTTAACGTGCAAAATAGTTGGATAGTTGATTTTTTACTATTGTCCTAAATGCGAAATGCCACATAATGAGATAGTCAATAAATGAGGAGTAGGTGTAATTGAATCAAACACTTAACAGGTTTTTTTAATAGAAAATTTTTGTTATAAAAGTACTTTAACAACATTACAGAAAATTTTAAAAATAGAGAATTGACTTTTGCTAAAAGAATAATGCTGTAACTAATATGTTTGTATAAATAGCTTTTTCCTTTTTTTGCATTATTTCATTAGGATCAATACTTTGAAGTAAAATTATTAATCAAAACGTCTTGTACATGAGATGAGTCAAATTCTTGGTGCATATTACCAAATTAGTTTCTAAAAAGATTAATTGATAGTGAGTGCCACAGCAGTGTTTCAAAATACCAATTTTAACATATTCATACTGGTAAGAATGCTATTTTTAATTTAATTGGGGGAAGTAATGCCTCAGTTTTGTTTTATATTTTTAGTTTGCTTTTTTCCCCCCCAATTGCTAGAAAGGTTAAACTTTAAAAATATGTTTTTGAATTTCTTATTTTATAAATTAAATCGTTAATATTTTTCCTCTGTCCTTTGGTCTTAGTGTTTTTCTTATCTATTTCTTAACTTTAAGCTTTTGCCTTATTTGCTGCAAATGTTTTTTCA